GTCTGAAATTTGGATATTTACTGCCACGGAAAAGCGACTATCTTACTATTTTTGAAAAATTTTTGAAAATTGATTCAGATTCTTCGCTGGATACGCTCTGGGAAAAGTATGGAAAATTTGTTATACCGTTTTCGATGAAAACCGGATGGGATGAAGTACTACGAGCACTGGGCTACGACCTTAAAGTACTGCCTTTTTTGTTTCCTTAAGAAATGAAGTGAAGTCAACTGAGAATCAGAAGCCTGGATTTTTCTGGCTGAACCGCACTGGCCACTAAACGGTCATGTCAAATCATATTGTTCTGGGCTTTTAGTTTTCACGCATTGTCTTTTACCGATGCGTCATTCGTGTTGCCTAAATTAGTGGGAATGTAAGCCTTGTCTGAATGACTGAAAATATGGTCAAGTCCAAGTAGCTCCAGAATAGAATGATTTAACTTGAAAGGATCAGAGTGATTTAATAAAATACATACTGCGAGAAATCATCATGCCAAGCACAGACGTTGCGTTAATTTCCTGCACAACGTAATCTTTAACTCTCTCGAAATCGGCTAAAAATTTCTAAAATTGTACCAGAAGTAACAGGCCTGAACTATTGACTGTTACATGTCAATTTTTAAAACAGGGCTCATTTAGGCATAACAAAACTCCCCCATAATCGTCTAAGAGTTAAGCTGGGCTATGTGCGTCCAGTTGATGCCCATCGCTTGTTCAGTATCTGAGTGTCATTTTTTCGGAAACCGCCGAAATAATCGCTTACTTTTTTCTTCTCGCGAGTACCACTCACTAATACGCGGTATCTACCGGATGTTGGCAAACAAGCAATAATATAAAATTATTCTAAAAATTATTAAAATTTTTGAAAGAAACTCGAGCCTAATAACTGGATTTTTCCAAAAAAATTGAAAAAATGAAATAAAAGTTTTTGTAAAAAACTTTTATAAAGGGTTTCCTGGACAGTTTGGACGCAATGCATTACTTCATTGATCATATTGTTTACCCGATGAATCTGCGCGGTCCATCTTTTCGCTGTGTGCTACAGGATGATGGTTCTCTACTGTTGCACTACTATTCATCACGCACTGGATTCCCGGGTATTGTTAAAGGTGCCAATTTACATTGCAGTCAATACATTGTTGCATCATCGTTTTCTTTTTATGCGTTTTGTGCGCTGCAAAAATGCATTTAGACAAAATCTTGCGTGTTTTGCGTGTATGTGTGTAAACAAATTTTTAATAAGCAAAATTTTTCTTGAAAACATCGAAGACGTAGAAAATAAAAGTTTTTGGCGAACTACCTTATTTGAATTGCAGGAATTGTGCACGAAGTTTCACAACGAATATTTGGGATTGAAGTTGAAATGACTATTGAGAAACGGCGTCAGGAACATATTAGTTCGATTGTCAAGGAACATATCATTTTTTCGATTACTGAGGTTTTTCCTAGCAGATTTTTTTTCGCTTCTAGACAACTTCGTGCATTTAAAATGTGCAAAACAGATTAAAAGGAGCTAGGTCTTCTGCTGCTTCCTCTTCCTCTTGTGCTTACTTTCAGGGAAAAGCCCTTCCTCCTTCATTTTTGAAATAGAACTTTTCGAATCGTCCCTCATTTTTCCAGAAATAAATTTTCTGGTTCTCTTTTTTAAGCACCTCAACAGTCTCGTAGCGTCTTTCTGTGCATTCTAGAAAATAACCAAAATTTCCTAAGCCACTGGTATGGAGATATTGTGCTACTGTTATTGTATCGAACAGGCGGTGGGTGTTAAATATTAACTGAAGATACGCAACTCAGGATCAAAGGATCTGGCATGGCTGCCCATCCCAGCAACAACCTTAACAGAGGATCTCGCAGCGGTTTTCCAGGCAGCATTGGTTTTAGTCTTTTGCATTTCAAGGTATTCCCTGACAAATTTTGGAATTTGCA